TTTTTTTTTACAGAACTAATGGACGCACAATTATGATTACTTATTTACAACTCATAAACGATGCAAAATTTATTAGTAAAGTCTAGTCTAGGACTCTAGGAGTAAAGTTTGAAGCAGTGATTATTTATGTAGGATGCCACATTCACACGACCATAGACACACGCATGACACACGACTCATTATTATTATATAAACTTATAAACGATGAACGTTGTCTATGGGCTGATATGGGTCGATCAATAGCCGATTTTGTCTACATAAGCTGACTAAAATAATTTGGATTTCTTCTTAGAAGTAATGAGAGATGGTTGTGTAATGGCAACAGAAAAAGTAACTAGGTATAATGTTTAAGTTGTTGAATAACGATTAATAATGTATTTCAGAGTTTAGTGGAACCTTTTGATGAAAAAAGGTTATGGCTAGGAAACTTGGACTCTAGGATTACCGAGTAAGTATACGCACTAATTTCATTAATAATTACTAACTCCATAATTTTCTCAACCGGTATCAATTAATAAAAATGCTGCAAAAATATGGTACCATCGAGAAGTTCGATCTGTTGTTTCATCGTTCAGGTCCTTTGACTGGACTCCCAAGAGGCTATGCTTTTGTTACATTTTTAAATAAGGAAGATGCAGTTAAAGCTAAAAGTGGGTTGAACAATAAACTGCTGGGAACTAAATGTATTTCAGTAATGTGGGCACACAGCTTGAGTAAAGTAAGTGCATTTTTTCTTAGTGTATTATTATATCCCTTGAAGGAAAATGTCCTGATTGGTGTGTTGGCAGTAGTAAGGCTTTTAAGTTTTGGAAAAAAATCTTACTAGCAAAAATGGCAAAAGAAATGGTTGCAAATCATTTTCAAGTTTAAATTTTCATCGTTAAGGGGCGTAAGTAGAAACTAGAAATACAAAATTCATTCTATCACGAAAACTTGAATGATGAGCCATAAAAATTATAAAACATCAATTGAGAGCTTCGGTTGTATCGCATCTGACATTTTTCCGGCTCTATCCTAGTAAGGGAAGTGAAGGCTTGTGTATTTCCCAATTTTTACGTTTCAATAACTCATGCACCTTTTAACCGATTTGAATATTTTAGGCCTCCATTAAAAGAGCATTTTAGGGTCTTTTTGAAGAACGTTTTCTTTGAACTGTTTAATTTTAAATAGCTAAACTGAAAGGCGATTTTTGTATATTACGTATTTTCGTGATTTTTGGAAAAACAGATGCAAAAGTGTTATTTATTTAACAGACCTTTGGGCGATTACCTAAAAGTTCCCTAAATTTTAGTGAAAACCGCTTCATATTTCTATACCCTATAACAGGGCTGTCCAACTGGCGGCCCGTATAAACTTGTAGGCCTTGCCGTTGTCGAAATACACCCGTTCCAAATGCTTATCGAAACACCCTGTATGTATAATCTATACGCGAAACTATGCAACATACTAAAATCTCAATTTAATCTGAGGTGAGCATACTAATCTAGACATTTATCATTTAAATAGATTTTATGTTTTAGGATGAGCCAGAAGTTAAATTAAAACCAGATGTGAAGCTTCCTGTATTAGCAATGGCAAAGCAAGAGAATAAAATTGATAGGGAATCTCAAATTCAAGCTATTGAAGCAAAACTAAAGATAATGCAACATAAAGCCAAAGATGAATTAGAAATAAATAAGACTGTTGCTACTGAACCACCAGTTATATCACTTTATCAAAAGAAACAAGAATCTCATTCTTCAAATCCTAGTACCTCCACTAAATTAGTTTTAAAAAAGTATAATGAAAAACGAAATCAATTTCCTTACACTAAGCCAAAACCAAAAAGGTGATATAATTTTAAAAATATGTTTAGCTCTCTTTTAACTTATTTCCTAGGATTTACAAGTGTATTTTGTGTCTTATGTACATTTATTTGTATTGAAATTCTAAATATTGTACTCTTCTTGGTGAAATTAATCTTTAAATTGTATCATGCTTTCAAAAAGAAATTATTGAAATAGAAGTATTCTCGTAATTCATGAATTCAGATGTTTATTAAATTTCTTGAATGTACTATTATATAAATGGTTTTTTGTAATGTAATATTGAGTACAAAAACAATTCTTGTTATAGTGAATAATTACACAATTAAAGAAATTTACTTACGATTGTTTAAAGTTAACCAAATCCACCACCAAGTATCTAACACCTTGTATTTAAATAACCCACTTTGAAAGTATGATCATAAAGAAAGAAGGTATTGTAACATAGTCATGCTTTTGCGCAATGTACTGCTCGGTGACACTTTAAGAAAAATGGTACTAATAATGGGTTACAAAAGTACCTAAAGAAACATTTCTATATTAAAAAAACAGGTGCAACTCAGTACACGTGAAAGAAGGGAAACTTCTTTGGTGATCTCTATACCTTTATAACATATAAGTAATGATTGGTAAAAGAGAGAGTACGAGGATTTCAGGATTTATGTTTCCCAACATATTTTATCTTTAGTCCACCTAAGGAGTACCACTTTAATACGTTTTTATGTAATGCAATAACAAAAAAATGGTCGTGTAGTTCGCTTCCGTTTATTTTTCCAAGTGCTTAAGAAACCGTAAACTATCAATAACTACAAGTAATTAGAATTAATACATAATAATACTCACTCTTAAACAAATATTAATTGTTAAATAAACATTTAGTGTAATACACTTACTGTAATATCTGTTCAGATATAACCAATACAGTAATTTAACACTATAGTATAGTGATATACATTATACTATATGAGATGCCGGTCACTAAGAACTGACTGTAATACCGATATGCACATGCGCGCCACTCTATTCTCCTTGCCTATCGCGTCGCGAGACAAAACGTTGCAAAACGTGTCGTTTCATGGCCTTGAGATTTTACTCCTATCGAGACCAAAGAAGTTTCACTTCAAAAATTATTTTGAAGGTTTTATAGCACAATCATGGAAAAAAATCATGTTAATAATATAGAAATGTTTTCTCCAACTTGGATATGATTGGAGCATTTTCAAACCAATTGTCACCCAATTCTGGTTCATAATCAGATCAGTTTACAAAAAATTATTGTAATACTTCAAAAGTTGTTACAAGATTCTTCAGTTGTAAAACATGAGTTAATTCTGCTGACCTGCCAATCATAAAAAATTGAAAAACAATAAATATATATTTCTACTACTCTACATAAACAGTTATTTTTGAGCATATTTGTATTTTCCTCTCATATACTTTGGTACTGGAATTATACCAGGGCATGGAACTTGACCAGGTATTTCACAGATGCAATGCTTTTCACAGCCCACACCAAAGTTTGCAGGGTTGTCTTTCTTTTCTCTTGCTACTTCCTCTGCTTTTAGAACTTCCCTAAAGAAACATTACGTGTTGATGGAATTGTGTTAGATTATTTAAAATATATGTTATACCCAGTTTTCCCAATGACTTTCATTAAATGATCATGTATTTCTTCTTTTGTTTTACTATCACAATCAATCAGCATTTGATGGCCAGTTTCTATAAGAAACATAATAAATAACGTAATGCTATGTAGAGAACAAACCCTTACCATAAAAAACACGTATAAATGGAGAAGGTGTCATATTTTTAAAAGCTTCTATTTGTACATCTGGATTTTTATATTGAATTTGTGGTAAAAACCAAAACGCAAATTCTCTAAAATGCAAAAAGCAGCAAATGTTACAAATTTGATCTTATAACTAAAAAATTACTAACTTAGCTCCTTGATGATGGTCACCAGCAATATTATAATTCACAGTAAAAACTTTAATTTGTTCTTTCAGAACTAACTTTCCTGCTTCTAAATATCTCAGAGTTCTCCTTACAGGAGCCTGTCCTTTCATAAACGGCATTGTGTCTTAAAATTTGAAATATTGCCTTCTGAAGCAGTATAAATTAAGGTTTAACTTTTTACATAACCTAAAAAGTAAATATATGGTAAATATACATTCATAGATAAGATAAACATCGTAATTGTGTTGCGTACTTACAGGCGTTTTCGATTTACTTTCTATGTTAGGACATTATCTATGGTAGAAACCTCGTTTAAATAACTGGTTGAGCCCGTTTAAATTTTCATGGCAGATGCTGTTAGGGTGCTTAGTACTTCACACTTCAAGAGAAAAATCTTTTATAGTCTAGATCACGTAAAGTAGAGAGATCTGTTATGAGATTTGTAAGCTTACTTTGTCAAAAGAGTGAATCTAGTTATTTAATTTTTACTTACTTATTGTAAATGTCAGAGAAATATAAACTTGGGCGAAAAAGGCAATATTATGAACGAGCTTGTATTTTTAATTTAAAAACATTTAAACTTGCTTGGAACTTCCATAACAACACGTCTTTTAGTTTATAAACTAGAACGCACTGGAAATTATTAAATTAATCATAGAATTGAATAAAACCCGGTATTCGAAAACATCGATTGAAGGCACGTGCATGATCAATGCTAGATAGATTCTGATGCAATATGATGTGATCGTCGTAGGCGTGTGATAAATGTTCTTTTATCCGGTTTTCCAACGGTCTCTTCGTTTCTCCAATGTAGAACTGACCGCATTCACATGGAATCTTATATAGACAGTTCTTCATTTCTTTCTGTGTTGAAAGTTTTGTTTTCGTGAGATGGCCACGCAGAGTGTTGGGCAAGTAGAATTTATTTCAAAGTGGTTGACCAATCTTCCAATCTTGTCGGATTTTACTTTTACGTATGGTAGTCGTAGCAGTGTTTGTCCTCTTGAAATTCTAATATTGGTCTGTTGGCTATTTATTGCTGTATTACATTTTGTATCAGTTTATCTGGGTATTCGCATTTCTTCACTCTATCTCACGAAAACAAATGAAGAATAAAATTTCATGTGAATGCGGTCAGTTATACAGTGGGGAAACGAAGAGACCGTTGAAAAACCGGTTAAAAGAATATTTATCACACGTCTTAAAGGAAGAAACTACACGATCTGGCTTATCAGAATACGCCTGAACAAACAATCACGAAATTTGTTGGGAGAGGGTAGATATTCTCCATGAGGAAGAGTACTCTCCCCTTGCGAAGTTTTCTGTTTGGGAACTACCTCAAGTTAATGAGGTAAAACTGTTTGTTGCTGCTGTCACTGCCTTACCGAATATCGAATTTGCCTGTATTTAAGATCAGATGGATACCGCAGAATCCATTTTTCCGTATTTTCACTGGTAGCATTCTTTTTGTCTAAAAGGTTTGTGAAAATGTTTGATATTGAATTCAAACGTTCTACTACAACCATCTCGTATATCCCGTAAAGTTTGTAACTTTATCTTAAACGCTTAAAAATTCACCCAAGGTCGCGATTTGAATAAAATTCAGCGCGAGTATTAAAACTAATTACATCACGTGTTCAACCGCGTGTTCGGTGTGTTTTGAGCTTCAAGATGAGTGCGAACAGTTCCTCGATAAATAAAACTATGATACCTGGAAGCTTCAGATGGAAGCAATCCTGATTAAAAATGACGTGGGAATATGTTAGTGGTGTGAAACTGAAGCCTGAACCAGGCGCTAACAACGCCGAGGCTATATTAGAATGGGATAAGAACGACATAATTTTGACAATTTTACCACCTGAACTAAAGCAGGTAAAGAATTGCATAACTTCACGAAATATTTCGACGAAACTTGGCAAAATTTTTCAATCCAGAGTACCGGCCCGAAAAGCAACGCTCTTGAATAAACTCGAAAATATGGAGATAATAATCCACCCCGATCAAATGGCTGCCAACCTCTTTTGAAAATTTTCGTTGTTCCTTCGAGTCACGCGACAATTTGCCAACTCCAGAATTTCTACGCGAAAAAGTTATAGAGGAAAATGAGGCTCGCATAAATGCTACATCGGACGAAAAATCTGGTGCTTTGTTAGCCCGAAAACAGCGATTTCCATTCTCAAAGAAAAAGATATCGACGACGAAGAACAGAAATACGAGGGTGGATTGATAAGTTTCCGGCCTAACCAAGAGATGACGCCACTAGGCCTACCTTGAGGTGACATTCTATAGTACCATCCTTGGATAGCTTGTAGCTATAGTTTCAGCCCGATCTCCTTGCTAGTGTAGGTTTGACAGCACGCTGAACAAGACGCCTCTGTGGTTTTCGTAAAAATGGAAAAGCAGGAAAATCGTGCTGTCATCAAATACTTTTATTTGAAGGGGTTAACGCCGAAGGAAATTAAAAAAGAGATGGACTCAACACTGGGGACATCCTCCCCGTCATATTCAACCGTTAAGCAGTGGGTTTCCGAGTTTAAAAAGGGTCGTGTGAGCACCTCTGATGGGCCTCGCTCAGGACGCCCCGTTGAGGTCACAACTCCAGATATGATCGAAAAAATTCATCAAATAGTGCTGGGAGACCGCAGATTGAAAGTGCGTGAGATAGCTGAGACCTGTAAGATGTCATATGAACGTGTGCAACATATTTTGCACCAACATTTGCATATGGAAAAGCTCTGTGCAAGATGGGTGCCGCGTTTGCTAACAGTCGACCAAAAATTGATTCGAAAAAACATTTCTACCGCAAATTTGTCATTGTATAAGCGTAATCCAAGCGAATTTTTGCGTCGATTCGTAACCGTTGACGAAACGTGGGTCCACCACTACACTCCTGAAACCAAAGAACAGTCTAAACAGTGGATTGGACCAGGGGAACCAACTCCAAAGAAGGCAAAAACAATTTTTTCGGCGAACAAGGTTATGGCTACTGTTTTTTGGGATGCAAGAGGTATTATATACATTGATTACCTTGCAAAGGGTAATACTATCACTGGTCAATACTACGCAGACTTATTGCAACGTTTGAGCCACGAGGTGAAAATTAAACGACCTCATCTGGCGAAGAAAAAAATCTTGTTTCATCACGATAACGCACCAGCGCACACGTCAATCGTTGCGACGGCTAAAATCAACGATCTAAAGTTTGAATTGATGCCGCACCCTCCTTACTCTCCAGACCTAGCCCCGAGTGACTATTTTCTGTTCCCTAATCTCAAAAAATGGCTTGGCGGTAAGAGATTTGCGGACAATGAAGAAGTAATCGAAGCTGTAAATGGTTATTTTGAGGAGCTTGACGAATCAGTCTATAGAGATGGCATTAATAGACTGGAACACCGCTATGAGAAATGTATCAGCCTTGGAGGAGATTATGTTAAGAAATAAAAAAAAAAAATTTTTAAAAACCTTGTTTTTCTTGGTCAGGCCGGAAACTTATCAATCCACCCTCGTAATACAAAGCGCCAGATCTTCAAGAATATCGGTTACAAGCCTTCCGATTGTTGGTTCAACAAAAAGAAGAGTTCAGCAACGTTTGTTTTTATAACGGCGACACTGCAACGTCGATGAAGAAGAATCAAAGTGGGTCTTGATAGCGATGCCTGTGCCGCAACTCGGATAGTTTTCTTCAACTCAATAAAAGCTAAAGTGGAACACTGAGTCTCACGAACGAGTCTTCCACTCTTAGAGCCGGAAAAGAGACAATCTCGTTTAACACAAATGTGTCCGGTCGTGTGTGCTGGATTTACGCAAAATTACAGATCACGGTTTCGACGTCATATTCGAAAAATATCACGTCGACTCACAGTACCTTACAATCCGCAGCAAAACGGCGTTGCGAAAGGTTGGAGTCCGAACTACCAGATTCACTTTGGACCGAAATAATCAACACATCAAATTATTTGCGGAACAAGCTACCTTTGAAGAGCTTGAATAGAAAAACTCTCTACGAAATATAGACCGGTAAACCACCTGATATTTTACACCTACAGATTTTCGGCAATCCGGTTATCTATCTCGACAGAGAACCTGGTTGAAATAAGCTCGAGTAACGTGGCCGAGACAACACCCTGGTAGGATATTTGACGGTTATCGAATCTGGGTACCTGAGAAGAAGAAAGTCATCGTGAACCGTGACGTTAAATTCGTGCGATAAACAACGAAAACGAAAATGATTCCCAGGTCAACTCCAAGGAGAAGAAACTCGTCACTGCTTCGAAACTTCCAATAAAGAAACAGATCCAAACGAATCAATCAAGATTCATGGAATTCGATTTGTCTTCTCAAACTAGTGCCAAGCATCAACTGATTGATGAAATCGAATCTGATGAAGAATTTCGCGGATTCGAACATGCAGAAAATGTAAACCGAGAAAATTCACAACTCATCAGTCAAGCAAATCCATAAGAAAATGATCAGCAAGCTGGGGTCGTCAAAGAAACATTTATTGCTGAAGTCGCTACGAACCAAGCGATGGGTGGCCTCGATGCCAACGAGTGGTTTTAAGCATTTACCAACGAGATGAAGGACAACACTTGGATAGTCGGAAAGTTCACTAGAAAAGTGAAAGGCGAGATTAGTAGCTCAAAGTTTTAATCAACAACAGTTGCTCGTCCTGTCCACTGGTCTTATGATGTCGATATGAAAATACGTTAGTATGACGTCATCACAGCTTTTTTGAACGAAGACCTTCATGACGAAGTATATATGGAAACTCCCAAAAACTACGAGAAAATCCTGGAGGAAATAGTTACTGAAGATCCCAACAACAGCAAATCGCTGTACGGCCTGCGGCAAGTTGGTTGTAACTGGTAAGACAAAATAAATCAGATTCTCCGGACTCTGGGAGCAATCCCGACTGACTCGGATCCATGTATCTTCACAATCGACTCAGGCGAAGACGCAAAGAGCGGACGAGCAGGATTGAGAGCTGAGAAAAAATTTCCGAATCAAGGATCTAGGAAAATGCCAAATGCATCTTGGGTAATGAAATCTCACAGACCAACGCCGCCTAGGCAAACAATCACAAAAAGGAAGAGCACTGGTTCCGGCGTAAGTTTAAAAAGTAGCATTCATTCAGCAACAATAAACAATTAGTCAACCAAATGTGGAAATCAGTAACATATGAAAACCGCTATTGAAAGTAATCCCGGAATTGCACTCCAACCAAC